GTTTAAAATAAAATAAATATGTTCTTGATTTTTGTTTCTTTACGATGTCCTAAGATACCCTTTGGAATTCAGCTATTAGCGTTATAACCAGTCGGGGTGTAACTCTAAATTTTTTTAGGGGTAACAATAAGTGTTATCTAGAACGCGTTAGAAATTAAATATAAATCAAATACTGAGTCGAATTATATTTTGTTTTCTTAATTGCGCTTAAATTGTTGCGCATGTCGCACCCACCCGGAGTTGATCAGTGCGCTTATCAGTGTTGCTAGTTGTTACCTGTTTAAACTAACTGTATGAAGTTGACGGAGTACTGGGTGTATCTGTATCATTTTCCCCTTTGTCAAACGATAATTAAGTAGTAAAAACAAATTAAAAATCCACATCTGCGCTTGTATGTACTTATTGCGTGCGCTTGATGCTTACTCATTCCCTTTTCGTATTTTGTGTCTTGTATCACGCTTTCTGTCGCGAATATATCCTTAAATTCTAATATAAGGAAGATAGAACCTACCATAAAGTTTGCTTGATTGCGGAAACACATCGTGCACGTTCACAAGATGCTCAGGATTTATGGTTAATTTTCCTAATTAATTTTCTCGGAAACAGAAAAGAAGGAAAGCACTGATTTCAGAAACACCCTGTATAATTAATGTTGTATTTTCGATCGAAGAGTTCAACATTTAAATACAAAATACACATCATTCCGCCAATTATCTGTTATGAAGTTATTTTTGTATCGAGATCCGCATAAATCAATTCCCACTAGAGATCCGTATAATTTATACGTATGATGCGGATCTTGCCCACTAATACCCACCTCTATTGGATGAGTAGAACGTTTAGAATTTCTTATAAAAAGAAAAAGAATGCAACCAGCAAACTTGAGCAAAACATTTTGCAAACTGTGTCTAAGTACTGCGATACGCGATACAAATTGCCAAAAAATAGATGTTATAGGGCGTTCTAGAAATTGTTTTGCCGAATGTGGAAAGAGTAAGTTACGATACGAGTACATTTATTTTACATACATCGATTTTATGAGCTCAGCTATCATTTATATAAATTAATAACAAATATGTTTCAGAATTTGGAGGAAACGGATAAATGTTTTGTATGAAGTGTTCCCTGAATTTATTTGCCGCTTTTAATTTTAAGTTCATATGTACGGATACTGAGGATATTATTTTTCCTTATATCAACGCCTGTAAAATGTCACAGGTTGACTTAGAAGTTTTTCTATAGGAGAAGGGAAATATTCAAATGACCAATATATCGGAAGATCAGAGAATATGTCGATTATGTTTTAAATTGATAACATATGGATTTGTATCGTTAAATGAAGTAGATGTTTACATAATTGATACATATATACCACAAGTTGTAAGTATATTTGAAAATACTTCTCAGGAAACTACATGTATCTAAATACAATCATAAGTGAAATTATATATAAAAGTCTGATATATTTTTTATTTTAGACAACATTTTTATAACAGATCTGTTTATAACCTCAAATAATATTCTAATACAAATTTTAAAATTAAAATTTCAATTTTGACTTACTCTACATAGCGCTACCTCCAACCTTAACACATTTTTCCGCTAACTTAATAAATTTTTCATACACTTTGCCACAATACATGATGGGGAAGTATTAAAAGAGCGCATATTAGAAGGAATAAATGAATTAAATGTACCTCGAACTATTTGCAAAGCTACCTACATAGAGTAAAATAAAATTTGTATTAGGACATTATTTGAGGTTATAAACAAATTTGTTTTGTAAAAATGTCGTGTAAAATAATAAATAGTGGTACTTCTCTCTTGAGTATTTTCGTGTTTTTTTTTTAATTTATGAACACCCTGTATATGTAATCTAAGATATTTATATGACAGTCTCATTTTTTTCGAGAGGCAGAACATTTTATAAAGAGTGACATTTTTCATTAGTGAAAAACAAAAGAATTTCTGCCCTTGTCAACTCATCCGTGGATACACTGTATGTATTGGAATTAATTGTAACGGAGCACCTACACAACTATATTCACGAATTCAAAGCTGAACTTGTGTTTACATTTAGTAGTAGTTAGAAAAATAGTCGTAATATGAAAAGTATTTATCTCTAATTAAAAAAAAATAAATCAATAGATATTCTGCCAGAAATAGCACTAATATTTTTTTTATTGTAGAAAATCAGTGCTACCAGTCATCCTGTTATATGCGGGCTGTGTTTGGATTCGCTTCGTACTCGTTTTTTAAGAAACTGCCTAGATACACTTCAAAAATTTGAAAGTATTGATAAACGGTCTTACATTAAAACTGAAATTGAAATGAACCTAGATGATTGTCAGAATACGCAGGAAAAATATAACAGTGTTGATAAGCTTTTTTATATTAAATCTGAAGAGATTGACATCAAGGTAGAGGAAGCTAGTTGATAGAAAATTTTGTAATTTTAGAACTTCTGCTATACTGCTTACTTTTTTCATCGTTTAAAAGCGAGTTATTCTCGAAATAGTGAAAATATATAGTTTGAAAGAAACATCTGCCACATTTTGAGTTGTTTATTTAATTTAAAATTTTTCAGTGGTTCATCTTCATACGACTTAGATAATGAAGCAATTGGAAACAAGCACAGATATGCTTCTGAAGACATAGGAGAGATAAATAGTGAACATATACTTAATTTGAAAAGTATAATAAATGTAATTATGGAACAAAGCACATGCAACACGAAAATTCTACAAATATTCAAATATACACGTGTAATACATGTAGCTATTAAACTAACTATAAGTTTTATCTAAAACTGCATCAGTTACGGCACAAAGGCCTTTTAGAAGACCCATCAGAAATCAAAATGTACAAATGTGATACTTGTCCTTATGAAACTAAACAGAGGAGATATCTAAAAGATCATCAGTTAATCCATAAAGATCCTCCTATGGTCCAAATGTATTAATGTGATTCTTGCAATTTCGAAACTGAGTATATATATCTAAAAAGTCATCGGTTATGGCACAAAAGCCATTTGAAAACCCAAATGTACACATGTAATGCGTGTACTTATCAGACTAAACGTAAGTATAGTTTAAAGTGGCATCAAATACGACACAAAAGCCTTCTAAAAACCCTAATCTACACATGTGAGGTGTACTTAAAAAACTAAATATAAGTATCTTCTAACTAGGCATCTGTTAAGACAACACAATCTTTTGGAAATCCAAACGCGAAAAAATAAGGGTTACCTAAAAGTGCATCAATTATGGCGGAAAGACTTCAGAAACCCAAATGTACACCTGTAAAACATGTACTCATCAGACTAAACATAAGGGTTATCTAAAAAGGCATCGGTTGTGGCACAGACGCCATTTGAAAACTCAATTGTACACATGTGATGGGTGTACTTACAAAACTAAATTTAAGTATGTTCTAAATAGGCATTGGATAACACACTACAACCCTTTGGAAATCCAAATCTGGAAGTGTGATACGTGTAGTTTTGAAACTAGATATAAGAGAAATCTAAAAGAACGAGAAAGAAATCTTACTGCACAAAGATGGTCCAGACAGATGAATGTACAAGTGTGATGCTTGTACTTACGAAACTAAATTTAAGAGTCATCTAAAAATGCAACAGTTTTGGCACAAGGCCGTTTGGGAAAACCAAATGCACAGGTCTGATATATGTAGTTATGAAACTGACTAAGAGTCACGTAAATTTGCATCAATTAATGCATAAAGATAGATGCTGTTATAAAACTAAGCGTAAGAGGTAGATTAGTTAATACACAAAATTGTTTCGTAAATTTATTAATTTTATATTGTGATAAAATCGCTAGAACAAGATTAATGAATGGTCGCTGCTATATTTTAATATATATTTTATTCTTAGCTCTTGTGTTTTTATTTTATTGTAAGGCTATTAAGCCAATTCATTTTTTTAAAATCCTATGTGCAGTCAAACAATTAATGTTCTTTGAATCAAAATATAGGTAAGTATGTAAAAAATACCTAACCTCGTAAGATTTTTAATAGTTTCATTTAATAATACGATGTTGAGATATATCATTTACAATTTTATTTTGAGTAATTGTTGATTACTAACTATACTTAAGATATTACTGGTGTAATGCAGTACTAGTAAGGGAATGTAATATAACATAGGGCTGCCACTTTTTTTTCATTTTAAAACGTGATACGCTAAATGCAGTGTGTAGGTCTTTTGCATGCAAATGAAAAAAAATTTTAAACGAAAACAGTATAAATATCTACCAAATTAAAGGCAATTCAATATTATTTAATGCGAAATAAAACCAAATGACAAACAAAATTTCAACATAAAACAATCACTCTGTCAAATCTTTGAAAATAATAAAGTACTAAAAAGGTCAAGGTACTATTAAATGGCTAATTATTATTACATTTCTCACTTTATATTATAAGCTTGCAATTCTGTGTTACACATGGCTTACAAAAACTCGTGAAATATTTTTTACCAATGAGCCTGATTCATCGGAACGACATAAAGATTTTTTTGTGAGGTTAGGAAAACAAAATAGTGTCCACAAATTTATTTATTTGAAAAGAATGTATTGATTTACAGAATAAGAATATAAATCTACTCGAAGGTATCTATATTGAAGTGTAGATTTTGTTAGCGTATGTCAATAATGTCTAAAAATTAGTCGAGTATTTGGAAATAATTTTCGTATTTGGTCAGCATTTGAACAAAATTCATTCAGGAAAACGAAAATTGGGTAGCAGAACAAAGAATCAAAGGGAAAAGATGTAATTAGATTAGGGGAACACGGAAATATCAGAAATTAGTAATAGTAATAAATCATTTAAATAGCAAAAGATTAAAGGCCATAATTTAAGTAAGAAGAAGAAGAAGAAGAAAACCGCGGGGTAGTTGGGTAGTTTTACTAGTTTTAAATGAGGTTATGATTACACTGATTGTTTAAAGCGTTTGAAATTTCCGATCTAAGTATAAAAAAATGCACTCAGAAAACTTGAAAAGAACATTTTGCTCACTGTGTCTAAATATTACAAGCGATACAAATTGCAATGTAACAGGAGAAGTAAGAGACGTCATAGAAGTTGTTTTTCCGAATGTGGTAAGATCAGACTAAGATTATCTTCATGTCTATTGTGCAGTTTATTTTCATATCTTTAATTTGTTTCAGTATTTGAAGGATATATATAAACATCCAATATGTAACACGTGTTCTGTCAAATTGTTTGCTGCTTTTAATTTTAAATCGGCATGTATGAAAACTGAGAATATTATTTTTCCACATATTAATGCTAGTAAAGCATCAGTGATTGATCTAATTGACGTTTATCTAAAGGAGAATGGAAATATTCAGTTGATCAAAATAACAGAAGATCAGAAAATTTGTCGCTTATGTTTACAATTGATAACATATGGATTTGTGTCATTAAATGAAGTAGATGTTGACATAGTTGATACTGTTATACCACAAGTTGTAAGTATATTTGAAATTACTTTTCAGGAAACTATACGTCGAAATACAATTTACACAAAATACTTTAAAAGTCGATAAATGTCACACCTACTTTTTATTTATCACGAAATTGAAATTTGTAAGTATAATAATAGGAAATTAAATTATTTTATTGGAAACTTCAAAATTATGAAACTTTAAATAACATTAAATTTATATTGCTAATTCTGGCATATCTTACTAAGATGCTCGTGCCGACGATTAATACATTGTATTTAATTGCAATGAAACTCCAAGGCAAATATCTTATTCTATTCATGAATTCTAAGCTGAAATTGTTGACGGTTACAGTTGCTAGAAGACTAGTTGTAATATGCAAACTGTTTCTCTTTTGTTTTTAAAAAAATAAGTACTCTAATAAGTAAGTCGGAAATAACACTAATATTTTTTTTTATTATAGAACATCAGTGCTACAAGCCATCCTGTTATATGCGGACTGTGTTTTGATTTGCTTTATACTCATGGCAGTTTTTTAAGGAAGTGTCTAGATTCAGGGGAAAAATATAAAATTATTGTTAAACAATCTTACATTAAAACTGAAGAAATTGAAATAAACCTAGAAGACAATTGTCAGAATGTACAGAATGTTGATAAGCCTTTTTATATTAAATCTGAAGAGATTGAAATCAAGGTAGAGGAAGATAATGAGAATAGGTAAGTAAATTAAATTTTGTAATTTTAGAACTTGTTACACTACTGCTTAGTCTTTCCATTGCTTAAAAGCAAGGTATACAAAATAATGAAAATATAAAGTTTAATAGAAATATCTGTCACATTTTAAGTTGTTTATTTCGCTTTCATTTTTTCAGTAGTTCATCTTCGTACCACATAAATAATGAAACAATTGAAAACAAGCAGATATATGTTTCTGAAGGCATAGGCGAGATAAATAGTGAAAATGTACTTAAATATGAAATAGGATTTAATGAAAACTTTACATCATCGATGTCGGTTCATAACAATCAAATGTGCAATGGCGAAAAGTCTGAATTTCAAAACCACGATAAATGTAAATATGTAACTAAGCACACGCAACACGAGAATCCTTCAAAAATCCAAATATACACGTGCAATACATGTAGTTATCAGACTAAACATAAGGGTGATCTAAAACTGCATCAGTTAGGGCACAAAGGCCAAATGTACACATGTGACACGTGTATGTACGAAACTAAATATAAGAGTAATCTCAAAAGGCATCAATTACTGCACAATAACCCTTTGGAAATCCAAATGTGGAAGTGTGATATGTGTAGTTTTGAATCTAGATATAAGAAAAATCTAAAAGAGCATCTTTTACTGCACAAAGATGTTTCAGACTGCCGACTGTACAAGTGTGATACTTGCAATTTTGATACTAAGCATAAGGGGTATCTAAAAATACATCAGTTAAGGCACAAAGACCCTTCCGAGATCCAAATGTACAAGTGTGATGTGTGTGATTATACTACTAAATATAGGAACAGTCTAAAAGTGCATCAGTTACAGCACAAAGACCCTTCAGAAATACAAATGTTCAAGTGTGATACTTGTAGTTATCAGACTAAACATAAGGATTATCTAAAACTGCATCAGTTACGGCACAAAGATCTTTTGAAAACCCAAATGTACACATGTGAAGGGTGTACTTACAAAACTAAATATAAGTATGTTCTAAATAGACATCGGTTAATGCACCACAACCCTTTGAAAATCCAAATGTGGAAGTGTGATATGTGTAGTTATGAAACTAAATATAAGAGAAATTTAAAAGTGCATCTCTCACTGCACAAAGACATCCGAATGTACAAATGCGATGCTTGTATTTATGAAACTAAATGTAAAAGTCATCTAAAAGTGCATCAGTTACAGCACAAGAGCATTTTGGAAAATGAAATACACAAGTGTGACACATGTAGTTATGAAACTGATTGTAAGAGCCGCTTAAATTGGCATCAGTTAATACACAAAGACTCATCAGAAATCAAAATGTACAAATGTGATACTTGTCCTTATGAAGCTAAACAGAGGAGATATCTAAAAGATCATCAGTTAGTTCACAAGGATCCTTCAAGAGTCCAAATGTACAAGTGTGATAGGTGCAGTTATGAAACTAAGCGTAAGGCGTATCTAAAAGTACATCAGTTAATACACAAAGACCTTTCGTAAATTCGTTAAGTTTATATTATGATAAATTTGTTATAACAAGAACAATAAATGGTCACTACTAAATTTTAATAACTTATTTTATTTTAATACGTTTTATTCTTAGCTCTTGTGTTTTTACTTTACTTTAAAAACAGTATGCTCTGTAGGCTGCTAGGGTGAATACCACGCCGCCAATATTTTTCTACGTCGGATGTCAAATGCGGTTAATTTTAAGAAGGTGATGCAGGAGTCTCCTTGGAATTCGATCTTAACAAATGTCATATGGATTGTACACTGAATGCAGGGCTCTCGCATGCTAATAAAATAATCTTTTAAACTTAATATCTATGAAAAATAGAAATAAATGACAAACAAAATTTCGACTTAATCAGCCTCTGTGTCAAAACTTTGGAAAAAATAAAAGTACAACAACGGTCAAAGTACTAGTAAAAGTACTAGTAAATGTCCAATCGCCATTATCAGCTATTATTATATTTCACACTTTTCGATTGCCGTTATATGGCAACCAAGGCAGATCTTAGTTCAAGCATTGACCGAAATATGAAATATTGCACCTATTTAGGTAACTTGTTTCTGTGGTTACAGATATGTAACTTCACTTTTACCATTAACCTCAACCTTAAAAATTACTATGATCAGCCACAAACAATTGTTTTTTATATAAAATGATATACACATCAGTTATTAAGGATAATACCTAGGTTTTTTGTATTTAATCACAAAATTATAAAAATATTTATTATAAGTACATTAAAAAAATTTGCAATTTGCACTTTTAAGAAATATTTTACATTTACAGTTAAAATCATTAATTGGATAGACATAAAGCAATGTGAAATAGGATTTAACAAGTGTTTATATCAAAATCTCTAAAATCATAAAATTTCTGTACTTCTGTACTATCAAACAGGTATAAATAAATTACCTCTAATTCTCAACCTGAAGCATAATCGAAAAAAAACCCAAACATAATTATGTGTCCAAGTGTCAGTGCTTCAAAGGCTTTTTAAGTTGCATCAATCACACAAATTTACATCGTTGACCTTCCACCGGAACATTTCGAACTTACGATGGCAGAGGATTGGAACCCTTTCACAAGCCCAGGATACTACAATCCCTCCAATCCTATTATGAGTGTCTACGAACCAGCTTATGGTGCTCAGAGGAGATGAGGCAAATGGGTCATCTGTACTGAGAAGTAGCCGAAATGAGTCAAATCGAGTTCTGGCGCCCAACGTGGGGCCACAACCGAGCACTGACAACCTACATCTGATACCGCGACATGCCATACAACGTAGAGCCTTGTTGCTAGATGAAAACTCGACCTATTGGATTCCACAACAATACTTGTAAGTAAATTTGTAACTATATAAACATACAGAAAATTTACAATTCGTTTACAATGCGATACACGTATCTTATAGAAACTCATGAAATTGTATTTTTTTACGACTGAGCCTGATGTCATCGGAACGAAATAAAAGATTTTTTGTGAGGCTAGGAAAAGACAAAATAGTGTCAACAAATTTATAATTTCCGGAATCTTCTGGAACATGTGCTGGAGTCCATCTAAAAAAGAGTAGATTGTGTTAGCGTGTGTATGTGAATAATGTCTGGAAATGACTCGAGTATTTGGAAATAAGTTTCGTATTTGATCAGCATTCGAACAAAATTCAATCGAGAAAACAAAATGGGTAGCAGTACGAAGATCAAAGGGAAAAAATTTTATTAGGGAAATACCAGATGTACTGTAAGGTTTATCTATCTCCCAAGGAAAATTAATAATAGTAATAAATAGTTCAAATAAAGCCTGGCTAAATATACAATAGTGTGAAGGTGAGGGAACAATTTAAGGGCGAAGAAGAAGAAACGGCGGTGTAAGGTGTAAATTTAAATGAGGTTATGATTACACTGTTAGAGCATTTAATATTTCCTTTCCGTTCAGAGTATAAAAATGCAGCCAGAAAACTTGAAAAGAACATTTTGCTCACTGTGTCTAAATACTATAAGCGATATAAATTGCGATGTATCAGGAGAAGTTCTAAAAGACGTACTGGAAGCTGTTTTTCCGAATGTGGTAAGATCAGATTGATTATTTTCATGTCTGTTGCGCAATTTATTTTCATATCTTTAATTGGTTTCAGTATTTGAAGGATATAGATAAACATCCAATATGTAACACGTGTTCCGTAAAATTGTTTGCTGCGTTTAATTTTAAGTCTGCATGTATGAATACTGAGAATATTATTTTTTCTCATATTAATACTAATAATACATCAGTAATTGATCTAAAAGAAGTTTATCGAAAGGAGAATGGAAATATTCAATTAATCAATATATCAGAAGATCAAAGATTTTGTCGGTTATGTATGCAGTTGGTAACATATGGATTTGTGTCAGTAAATAAAGTGGACGTTGACATAATCCATACATATCTACCACAAGTTGTAAGTAGATATATCAAAATATATATTAAAAAATTAAACAAATTAAATTCTACATGTATATAAACGTAAATTGCTTAGAAAGTCAGTGAAGTTTGTGATCTCACATGACAAGAAAATTGCAAGTCTGTTACTTCGCAAACGCTTTTTTGAATGCATGATATTTTGGAAGCTTCATAATCAGAAACTTTCATTCAATTTGTCAGTGCCAACAACGGTCCACAGCAGCGGCTAGTCTCTTAAGAGTAAATCTAATGTGCAAACCGTTTTTCTGTAGTTAAAAACAATAGATAGTCCGTTGCGGATATTTAGTAAAATTTTTTATTGTAGATCTTTGGCGCTACCAGCCATCCTGTTATATGTGGATCATGTTTTGATTCGCTTCGTACCCATGGTGCTTTTTTAAAGAACTGCCTTAATGCACTTAAAAAATTTAAAAACATTGATAAACAGAGCCACATTAAAACTGATGACATTTCAATAAAACTGGAAGAAGATTGTCAGGATGCACAGGAGAAACATGAAAACATTGACATTCAGTCTTATATTAAATCTGAAGAGATTGAAATAAAGATAGAGAAATATGATCTAGATGGGTAAGGATGTACCGTTGTTTTTTGACTAGATATTTTTCCTAACTGATAGTATAGCCTTGAGTGAGTACTTATAATAGTCCTTACTACCCGGCTCTAAATGTAGCAATTACAAGTTCTAGATTGTACTTATCCCCAGTATGGGCCATGTACCTTGTAGAAATGAATTAATATGTCCTCAAATTAATCTATTTGTCTATTACGTACATATTTAAACGTACGGTGATCTTTATTCCGTGGAACCAACAAGAGTATATTTCTTAACAAGTATGTACTCGATAAGAAAAGGAATGTAAAGAAATCGTTAATTGTTAGACTAATATTTTCCCAATATATTTCAAAAATATAACATTTGCTGCTTTTGGAATATATATAATAAATAATTCAAATTATATGTGTAATAATAGGTGGGGAGGTGAAACCATGTTTTTACTAGTTTAAGTATTTTTAAGTAAGTTTAAGTACTTACATTATTGCTTAACATTGATTGGTGTATTTCATTTTAAACAAATTTAATTGTTTCAGCAATCCACCTTCATTCGATTTAGATAATGAAACAGTTGAAAACAAGAGATCCATTTGTGAAAATATAGAGGAAATAAAGTTTGAATGTATATATAAATACGAAACGGGATTAAACGAAAATTGTAATGAAGAAATACCCAGAAGCAAAAAGCCTAGATTTCAGAATTGTGAGCCTTCATTAGATACATCATTGCACCAATGTGATAAATGTAAAGTTAAGCTTAAAACTAATCTGAAACGGCATCAGTTAATACATAAAAGCTTTTCAGAAGTCAAGACGTACAAGTGTGATATATGTAGTTATGAAACTAAATATAAGAATCATTTAAAAGAACATCAGTTATGGCACAAAGACCCTTCAGAAATCCAAATGTACAAATGTGAAACTTGTACTTACGAAACCAAATATAAGAAAGCTCTAAAAGTTCATCAAATATTACACAAAGACCCTTTAGAAATCCAAATGTACAAATGTGATATTTGTACTTACGAGACTAAATATAAGGGATACATAAAAGAGCATCAGTTAAAACACAAAAACCCTTCAGAAGTCCAAATGTACAAGTGTGATGCCTGTAGTTTTGAAACTAAACGTAAGAGTCATGTCAAAAGGCATCAGTTGTTGCACAGAAATCCTTCAGAAATCCACATGTACAAATGCGATATTTGTACTTATGAAAGTAGATATAAAGAAGATCTAACAGCACATCAGTTAATACATAAAGACCATTCAGAAATTAAAATGTACAAATGTGATACTTGTCCTTATGAAGCTAAACAGAGGAGATATCTAAAAGATCATCAGTTAGTTCACAAAGATCCTTCNTTTAATTTTAAGTCTGCATGTATGAATACTGAGAATATTATTTTTTCTCATATTAATACTAATAAAACATCAGTAATTGATCTAAAAGAAGTTTATCGAAAGGAGAATGGAAATATTCAATTAATCAATATATCAGAAGATCAAAGATTTTGTCGGTTATGTATGCAGTTGGTAACATATGGATTTGTGTCAGTAAATAATGTGGACGTTGACATAATCGATACATATCTACCACAAGTTGTACGTATATATATCGAAATATATATTAAAAAATTAAACAAATTGAATTCTACATGTATATAAATGTAAATTGCTTATAAGTCAGTGAAGTTTGTGATCTCACATGACAAGAAAATTGCAAGTCTATGACTTCGCACACTTTTGTATGCATGATATCTTGGAAGCTTCATAATCAGAAACTTTCATTCAATTTGTCAGTGCCAACAACGGCCCACAGCAGCAGCCAGTCTCTTAAGAGTAAATCTAATGTGCAAACTGTTTTTCTGTAGTTAAAAACAATAGATAGCCCGTTGCGGATATTTAGTAAAAATTTTTATTGTAGATCTTTGGCGCTACCAGCAATCCTGTTATATGTGGATCGTGTTTTGATTCGCTTCGTACCCATGGCGCTTTTTTAAAGAACTGCCTTGATGCACTTAAAAAATTTAAAAGCATTGATAAACAGAGCCACATTAAAACTGATGACATTTCAATAAAACTGGAAGAAGATTGTCAGGATACACATGAGAAACATGAAAACATTGACATTCAGTCTTATTTTAAATCTGAAGAGATTGAAATAAAGATAGAGAAATATGATCTAGATGGGTAAGGATGTANTCTTGTTCGAAAACAAGATCTTCGTCAGGGGAGTCTGGTTCCAATGGATTGGGAAATAAAATCACCAATGCGGGAATTAATTCAAATTGGAGAAATTCAAGATATCTCTGTCCAGTTAAATACTGCTCAAAAATATATGGGCCTATTACTCTTACTTTTTCTCTTACTATTCCACACCACACATTTAATGTTTCAGGGTGCTGATTATGAGCCTCCCTCATCCAGTGCGGGTTCTCTGTCGCCCAGTACCAACAATTTTGTCTATTAATAATACTATTTAGGGAAAATGTAGCTTCATCGGAAAAAATAATGTTCCTTACTAAATTAATATTTCGATTACACAAATTTTGCATGTGTTCACAAAATTCGTTTCGTCTGTCGAAATCGTCTTCAGATAACTCTTGTACTGGAATAACTTTGTATAGATGATATTTGTGCCTTTGAAGTATTCCATGAACAGCACATTTCGACAAGAGTAAATTAGCAGCAATGCGTGACAAGGAAATATGTGGATATTCTTCCACAGAAAGTAAAACTTCTACTTGGTCATTTTCTTCTCTATCAGGACGACCAGACTTAGGCAAGTCTCTAACATGATCAAATTCTCTAAATTTTGCTTTAATTCTACTGACTACCATTTGAGAAATAAGAGGACGATTATGATGGATTTCATTAAATAACTAAGCTGCTTCTGCTTGAGTCCCCGTTTTATCACCAAACCCAACCAAGCAGTATATTTCAAATTTTTCTCGTTCAGTTAACTTTGACATTCTTAAAAAACACATTCAAGAGTTTAAACACTACTAATGAAAGGACAAGAATTAAAAAAAAACAAACATACAAACATCAGAAAAAAGTTACACAGAAATTTTCAAAACGTGGAAATCCGATCGCCTTGGATATTGTCAAGTAGAGAATAGAGCACATTTTGAACATTTAATTTAAAGGATGTTAATTGTTTGCATTTAAAGTTATTTATTTATCGTTCTCAATAAATTTCTTATGTAACCCAATAATATTTTTAGTGTTTTAAACTTAAAAAATTATTCTCATTCAGAATCTGAAGAGAAAAGTTGGGGTTGCCATTTAAAAAAATTGTCACTGAGGTCACAACTTCTTCAATAATGTCAGAAAAGCCCCGGAAACCATATCAGAACATGGTATTTAATTAAAGTCTCCCAACGTGTCTCGGCGATTTTGTAAAAAATAAATTCCTTAAATTTTAATTTANCATATTTAAACATACAGTGATCTTTATTCCGTGGAACCATAATATTTCTTAACGAGTAATTACTTGATAAGAAAAGAAATGTAAAGAAACCGTTAATTGTTAGACTAATATATTCCCAATATAATTGAAAAATATAACATTTGCTGCTTTTATATATAATCGAAATATAGAAAGATTAATAAAGTATTCAATATTAAATGTGTAGTAATAGGTGGGCAGGCGAAAACGCCCTTTTAAATACTAGTTTATGTATTTTATTCAAATTCAATGAATATTGTAAATTTAAAATTTGAATGAGCATTTGTGAAATAAACCTGTTTTAATTTTTCTTATTGTCTTACATTATTGCTTAATTGGTGTATTTAATTTTATACAAATTTAATTGTTTCAGCAATCCACCTTCATACGATTTAGATAATGAAACAGTTGAAAACAAGAGATCCATTTGTGAAAATATAGAGGAAATTAAGTGTGAATGTATATATAAATATGAAACGGGATTAAACGAAAATTGTTATGAAGAAGTACCCAAAAGCAAAAAGCCTAGATTTCAGAATTGTGAGCTTTTATTAGATACACCATTGTACCAATGTGATAAATGTAAAGTTAAGCTTAAAACGAATCTGAAACGGCATCAGTTAATACATAAAAGCTTTTCAGAAGTCAAAACGTACAAGTGTGGTACGTGTAGTTATGAAACTAAATATAAGAATCATTTAAAAGATCATCAGTTATGGCACAAAGACTCTTCAGAAATCCAAATGTACAAATGTGAAACTTGTACTTACGAAACTAAATATAAGAAAGCTCTAAAAGTTCATCAAATATTACACAAAGACCCTTTAGAAATCCAAATGTACAAATGTGATATTTGTACTTACGAGACTAAATATAAGGGATACATAAAAGAGCATCAGTTAACACACAAAAACCCTTCAGAAGTCCAAATGTACAAGTGTGATGCCTGTAGTTTTGAAGCTAAACGTAAGAATCATCTCAAAAGGCATCGGTTGTTGCACAGAAATCCTTCAGAAATCCACATGTACAAATGTGATATTTGCACTTATGAAAGTAGATATAAAGAAGATCTAACAGTACATCAGTTAAAACATAAAGACCATTCAGAAATCCAAATGTATAAATGTGATACTTGTATTTACGAAACTAAATACAAAAGTTGTCTGAAAAAGCACCAGTTAATGCACAAGGACTCTTCGGAAATCCAAATGTACAAATGTGATACTTGTGATTATGAAAGCAAATATAAGAAAGGTCTAAAAATTCATCAATTATCTCACAAAGATTCTTCAGAAATCCAAATGTACAAATGTGATAATTGTTCTTATGAAACTAAATTTAAGAATCATCTAAACGTACATCAGTTAACACACAAAGACCCTTCAGAAATCCAAATGTACAAATGTGATATATGTGCTTATAAAAGTAAATATAAGAAAGGTCTAAAAGTCCATCAATTATCACACAAAGACCCATCGGAAATCCACATGTACAAGTGTGATAGTTGTGTTTATGAAACTAAATATAAAGGTATTCTAAAATATCATCAGTTAATACACAAAGACAATTTGGAAGTTCAGATATACAAGTGTGATATTTGTACATTTGGAACTAAGTTTAAAAGAAATCTAAAATCGCATCAATTAAAACACAAAGATTCTTCAGAAATCCAAATGTACAAATGTGAGGTTTGCACCTACGAAACTAAATATAAAAATGGTTTAAATAAGCATCAGTTGATACACAAAGATAGTTTGGAAGTACAGATCTACAAGTGTGATAGATGTACTTATGAAACCAGGCGTAAAAATAATCTCAAAAATCATCAGTTGTCTAAGCATAAAAATCAAGACTCAATTGTTCAATTGTAATATGTGCAGTTTTTAAACTAAATATATAAGGGCTTTTTAAAGAAATATTTAAATAATGTGATAATGTTATACTTATATTTGTCTATGTTACTATTATTATTATTATAAATACGTTAGATATTATGTGTACCTACAGTGTAGATAGGGAAATAAAGCATATTTGTAGAAATTTTCAATTATGTGTATGTTTATATTATTTCATATTATTTATTTCTATTTTTGTAATCACAAAGATTTTACTGGGGTGAAATAATACAANCTTTTAATTCAACTTAATATCCATGAAAAATTGAAATAAATAAACAAAATTTTGACTTATTCAGACCCTGTGTCAAAACTTTGGAAAAAATAAAAGTACAACAACAATGGTCAAAGTACTAGTAAATGTCCAATCGCCATTATCAGCTATTATTATATTTGACACTTTTCGATTGCCGTTATATGGCAACCAAGGCAGGTCTTAGTTCAAGCGTTGACTGACGTATTGCACCTATTTATCTCCAAAATTAATTATCTAATTAATCCAAAAATCTCCAAAATTTGTTACTTACAGAGATTTCTCGGATTTTAATCATGTTGAATTTAAATTCGACTTGGCATTCATTAATTGGAATTATTTGTATTCATTAAGTTCTGTAGATGAAATGTTAGAATTTTGGAACCACAGTTTACTGTCTGTTTTTAACATTCATGCTCCTTTAAAAACTGTTCGGGTTACTAAGAAACCTGCTCCTTGGCTAACGCCTAATCTTAAACTAATGATTCATCTTAAGAAGGAAGCGTTTCATAAATTCAAAAAAGACAAAATGTAGATTTCTCATAANTAGTTTTTTAATTTAAAATATAAAATAACTTAAGAACTTCTTGTTTCTCAAAAAAAGTTCATGGGACTGTTATGCTAGAAATACTATTTTAAATATAAATTATGACAAGTTGGAAAAAATTATTGACATGAGAATTTGCATATTGTATGGGGTATGGCCAAGAAAAATATTGTACCACTTATTTTCTCTCATTTCTCATTATTGTAATGTGTTTATTATTGTATATATTTACGAAAAAACTTAGAAGTCTGTGGTTATCACAGTGCAAGATTATAGACGTAGATGAGTCTTTACCATTCTTGTTGTTCCGATAACAGAAGAGGAAGAAGAACAATAACTCTATTCGGTGTTTTCATTGAGGTTAAATAACCAACACAAGTTACGGTTTTATGTTTTATATTTACATTTCAAAGAAAATTGTTGCAATAACTGGTGTTCAAGAAACTTCGTGCAAGCTTTGCCTCAAAACTGTAACCGTTAATGGTTTTGAGGTAATAAACAACGTTATTAGAGAAGGTCTTTTGCTGAAATTGGTAAGTCGGTAGATATGTATTATTAGTTTAGGGTCGTTGATATGTATGGAAACCGTCGATTATCTCCTAAAGTAAAATAGCTATCGAAAACGTTTTTTAAAATCTATTGCAATAAAGAACATTTAAGAAACAAAATTGCTTTTTCTTTATTGGAACANACAGAGATTTCTCGGATTTTAATCATGTTGAATTTAAATTCGACTTGGCATTCATTAATTGGGATTATTTGTATTCATTAAGTTCTGTAGATGAAATGTTAGAATTTTGGAACCACAGTTTACTGTCTGTTTTTAACATTCATGCTCCTTTAAAAACTGTTCGGGTTACTAAGAAACCTGCTCCTTGGCTAACGCCTAATCTTAAACTAATGATTCATCTTAAGAAGGAAGCGTTTCATAAATTCAAAAAAGACAAAATGTAGATTTCTCATAACTATTATAAAGATTTACGCAACTTAGTTAACCGGTTAGTTAGGGTGAAGAAAGCATTTCTTCAGTATAAATTTAAAAATTATCCTAAAAGTTTTTGGAAGACATTAAAGTATTTAAATGTTAATGAAACAAGTCATAAGGTCCATGAGTTAAATCCCCATCAATATAATAACTTTTTGTGCGACTAGTTGCCCCAACCTCTTGATTACATAGACAGCACACCAATTTTGAATAAGTATAATGGGAAATTCTCTTGTCACAATTAATTTAATTTGAAAAGTGTTATTAAGGATCAAATTGAGCATTTTATTTCGCATAAAAACTCAGGCAATGGGATCTGATTGCATTAATCAATCAAAAATGTTGTTTTATGTCTTTCCCTTTCTCAGTGATCATTTTACATTTATTATAAACGAATGTCTTAGGACAGGTGTTTTTCCTACGGTTTGGAAAAATTCTCATATTATACCGTGTCCGAAAAAAGTAATCCGGTAGCTCTTTCAGATTATCGTCCCATTAGCATTTTACCAAACTTATCTAAAATGTTTGATACCTTGGACCATGATATCTTGATAAAAAAGTTAAAATATTTTGTTGTGGGTAATAATGTAATTTCCTTCTTTACTAGTTATCTGTTTAATCGTCGACAGAAGGTTTACTCAGGAAATGATTTCTCCCTTTACAGATTTGTTAAATAGGGAATGCCTCAAGGGAGTATGTTGGGGCCGACGTTATTTTCTGTTTATACTGCGGATTTTTCTCACATCTTACCCATTGCAAAATTCACCAGTATGCTGATGATATACTCAGTTGTATTTTTCTTTTAACCAGAATGATATGTTGCGTACCATGAATTGTATTAATAGAGATTTAAATGTTATCGTTCGTGTTTCTAATTCTCACAAGCTAGTTTTGAATAAAAAAAAATCTGAACTACTTTTCGGTAAGGGGAGATTTAATCTCATAAATAATCTCATAATCCTAATTTCGTAATAGAAATTAACAATGAAATTTTGAAGACTGTTGGCTTTTGTAAAAATCTGGGAATTATAATAGATGATGATCTGAGGTTCAGCAATCATGTCGTTAATCTGGTTAAAAAATCATATAATATACTGAAATTATTGTACATGCAGGAGTTTTTGAGTAATGACATAAAATTATTATTGTGTGACTCGTTATGTCATTTTTGGCTTACCGTGATGTTGTATACTGGCCTACTTTAACCGCGAAAGATAAGAGCACACTCCAAAAAATACAAAATAGTTGTATTAGATTTTCCTTTAATTTGCGTAAATATGACCATTTGTCTGGAGCTTTTTCACGTGCTAATTGGCTTAATTTGGAGGAAAGGTTTAGGTATCATATGTCATGTTTGGTTTTCAAAATAAAAAATAATATGTTACCTTCTTATTTATATAACAAACTTATTAGAGGCTGTGATACCATAGAAACTATAGTTATATTTTGTATGTGTGATACAATTTATCTACTCGTTATAAGGAAATGTATACTGTGCCCAAGCATGCAACTGCACAATTTGAAAGAAGTTTTACATACAATGCATTGTAAGAATTTCAATGATATTCCTAACTGTATTAAGTCGGTCTCGAACTTACAGACATTCCGAAAACAGGTCAAAACTTGGATATTTTCGAAACATTTGCCTTAGTGTTCTTATCTATATTACTTTAGTATAGTTTACATTAGGCTTCTGTCTTGCAGAGCTGGGTAATTCCTGGTGAAAAAGTAATTAGCAATTACAATTCCCTTTTTTTTCCTGTAATTGTAATTGTATTTAAGTACTTTTTTTTATTAAAGTAATTTGGAATTGTAATTGCAGTAAAATTGTTATAGGAATTGTAATTTGTAATTATATTTTTTGAACTATCGAATTACAAATTACTTCTATAAGTACAAATACTTTTTCCAATTACAATTACTTTNCCAAGAAAAATATTGCACCACTTATTTTCTCTCATTTCTCATTATTATAATGTGTTTAATTTTGTATATATTTACGAAAAAACTTAGAAGTCTGTGGTTGTCACAGTGCAAGATTATAGACGAGACTTTACCATTTTTGTGTTCCGATAACAGAAGAGGAAGAAGAACAATAACTATTCGATGTTTTCATTGAGGTTAAACAACCAACAAAAGTTACGGTTTTATATTTATCAAAGAAAATTGTTGCAATGACTTATGTTCAAGAAACTTCGTGCAAACTTTGCCTCAAAACTGTAACCGTTAATGGTTTTGAGGTAATAAACAACGTTATTAGAGATATTTTAGATGGTCTTTTGCTGAAATTGGTAAGTCGGTAGATATGTATTATTAGTTCAGGGTCGTTGATATGTATGGAAACGGTCGATTATCTCCTAAAGTAAGATGGCTATCGAAAAATCATAAGATACAAACGTTTTTAGGTTTTTTAAAATCTATGACAATAAAGAAAATTTAAGAAACAAAGTTGCTTTTTTTTATTGGAACACCCTATATTTTTCATGAAACTGGAGGTGTTACAGATCGACGAAAAAGTGGAAGACCAGTAAGCGTTACAAATGAGAAATATGTTCCCGATTGGGATGCAATTAATGAAAGATATTCACTACTTCGTCACAATTTCCTCTTCTATCACCAGATCCTATGATCATTAAAACTTTAATACACTTGGTTTCACTTAAATGTGCCATTTTTGACAGAAAATTATTCACACAAAATGTAATTTTGGCATGTGCTGTCAAGATAGTCACAAATAGACAAAAGAACGACGCGGCATTGTCATGAAGCTAGAAACTCTCACAAACAATAAGTCCTAAGTTTGCAGAACCTTTAATAAAGTTCACCTATTTCTTTATGGTGCTTTCAAAAATGCAGTAAAATACAGGGTGTTCCATTTAAAAATATATAACTGATANATCTTTTGTATGTGTTTTTTTATTTAGAGTATTTTCTTCCTGGTTAATATAAAACATTTCTAAAGAACATCTTTTAGAATAATCCTTTTCTGTTGTTAAAATTTTAAAATTTTCAAAATCCATTTTATGTCCTGTAGAATTAACATGTTGTGAAAGTGCACAAGCATCTGGTCTTAATCTAATATTACTTTTATGTGAAGAAAATATTATTGTAATATTATTTTCTTGTTTTAAGAAACTGGAGATGTTACAGATCGACGAAAAAGTGGAAGACCAGTAAGCGTTACAAATGAGAAATATGTTCCCGATTGGGATGCAATTAATAAAAGATATCCACTACTTCGTCACAATTTCCTCTTCTATCACCAGATTATATGATCATTAAAACTTCAATACACTTGGTTTCACTTAAACATGCCATTTTTGACAGAAAATTATTCACACAAAATGTAATTTTGGCATGTGCTGTCAAGATAGTCACAACTAGACAAAAGAACGACGCGGCATTGTCATGAAGCTAGAAACTCTCACAAACAATAAGTCCTAAGTTTGCAGAACCTTTAATAAAGTTCACCTATTTCTTTATGGTGCTTTCAAAAATGCAGTAAAATACAGGGTGTTCCATTTAAAAATATATAACTGATATGGTACGTTTTTCCTGGACACCCCGTATATTTCAAAATATTTTTAAAATGTAACCATAATCAACCTACAGGTACCCACTTAAACAGGTTTTTATAACATTTACCGTTTGGTCCCTAGCCACCGAGGCATTACTGGCGGCTCACCCTGTATATTATATCTCATTTCGCACACCTCAACAGATTAGAACGACTTAACAATAATTGATATATTTTCTGCCAAAGTTATTTTCTTTCTCTTTACTTAAAGTTGCATATATTTCAGAAATTTGATAGCGAGGGCAAAGACGTTATATGTAACGTTTGCAGAAGAAAGTTCAACGCAGCATTAGAATTTAAATCAACTTGTCTGAATACCGATTATACAATTAATCGATATGTGGATAGCGAAGAAATATTACAGCTCGATATAAGGGATGTGTATACGAAGGAAAATACAAGCGAGTCAATAGATATTTCAGATAGTCAGAAAATATGTCGATTGGGTATGCACCCGGTAGAAAGTGAGTTTAGGCACATTTGTGAAGAGGAACTTGAAGCTATCGGGAAATTGGCTCCTGAAATGGTATCAATGATATTAAATAGTTACATTTTTCGCAATTTAATTAAACTATTTTGCAGAATATAAATATCATCAAAGATCCCGTTGTATGTAAGGAATGCTTTGAATCTGTGTGCACCCACAACAGTTTCCTAAAAAATTGCTTGGAAGTACAGGAAAAAATTGGAGGTATTTTTAATAGCGCAGCAACAGAAAGTCAGATAGATACGTCACCATCTGATCTATTTGTTAAGACTGAATACCAGGACAATGAATTCGATATCAAGGAGATGGAAATGTCAATCAAAGCTGAAAGTATCGACGTAAAATCGGAAGATCAGGAAAGGAGGTAAGAGAAGACCATTTTAACAATAATTTAAAAGGTAACTGTATAACTCCAGATCTTATTTAATTGTGCATCTCTTGCATTAATTTCTTGTATTTCTAAGAGTTTTCACATAATTAATTATTTTTAACATTCTTCATTAAAAATATGACATCAATTGTCATAAAAAATTTGATTTATGGACACGTGTGTCCATCTAGTGCGTGTAAGTCCAATATCTAGGTTAATAAAAGATATAACTTAATTTTTTTTTCTACAGAGTTGCCTACTTTCCCGAGCTGCACAAAATGAAAATATATTTGCATATACAGTTTTTCCTGGGCAACTTAATTTTTTTAAATGGAAACCTATATTTTTTATGGCATTATCGAATTCTACGTGAAAAATTAACGGGACTTTGTGTTATGATCCCTATTAAAATATTTATAGTTTTCAAGATAACCGACTTTTCATTTTTTTTCTTATGTTTCGTCACTTCTAGTAGTTGACATAACTATGATTGTATGACAGCTAGAAATTATTTTTTTTCAGGAACTGTAGAGTGAAGATGGCTCTTTCAAAAAACGTATCAAAAGTTGACCTGCGATATACAGAGGGTAAAAAAAATTGTGCCGAACCTGATAATTTAAAATTTGAAAAATCTTGACTTTTTCAAATAGAACACCATGAGTTTTGTGATTTCATTAGATGCCTTATGTAGACCCTACAATTTTTTAATAGCTTTCGCTATACCTAAGTTGCGTGGTTTTTGCAAAAAACCCATTTTTATGTAAAATACCGGATTTGCGCCCATTCCTTTGTCGGGAAAAATATTGTAAGGGTATTTATTTTTATTAAATTTATTAGTTGTCTAGCTACACTATTTAAAATAAAAATTAATAACTGAAGAATTTAGATATTTGAGTTTAATAAATAAGTCTTTATGGAAAGTTACCATTTATTTGTAAATAAAATCAAAAAACCATAAAATGGCTACAAGTGATTAAGAATTACCAAAATATGGGAAATCTTTGCTAGCAGCACGTATTTACAAAGCAAATAATCCAAATTTACAGAGATTCCCACTTTTGAAAATGTGAAGGAAAGGTTTGAATGAACAGCAAATGCGAATTATGAGAAAACTACCAGGAGACATGAAAGTAACAACGATAATATTTATTTTAGTAGCGGCGTCTGTTGTTGAAAATCCAAATGTTATTGCCAGGAAATTAGTAGTAACCTTGGAGCTTTCAAAAGCTTGACAAATAAAATATTGAAGAAGAAGTTTCATCCGTATCATATTGAAAAGCAAGCACTGTTACCGTAGTTAGGAAAGTTATTAGTAAAATTGGAGATTAAGAAATTTGGATGAATAGAATTTTTAAAAAGAATACTCGTAGTCGCAAGCTTACTTAAAATAAATGTTCAAACTGTCCACCGTTGTTTTCTACACAAAGCATTAATCTACGATGAAAATGAATGTGGACATTTCTTAACATTTGAGGCATTACAGTTAGAAACTCGTTTTGAATCTTTTCTCTTAAGTCTTGAATATCCGTTGGTGGTACTTCGTATACTCACTCCTTGATATAACCCTACAAGAAAAAGTCCAGACGATTTAAGTCAGGCGAACGTGTGGGCCAAAGAACTGGATCACCACGACCTAACCACTGGTTTGCATATACATGATTTAGGTGTTCTCTAACCTGAAAGATAAATAGGTAATAGGAAAAGTATAATAACAATAAAATAATCACATTACAGCCAAAGTGGAATGTGGAGGGGCACCATCTTGCTGAAACCATTGTTAAACCAAATAATCAGCGGGCATATGTACCTGAAAAAGGGGAAGTTCATTTTGCAAAAAATTGAAGGCTGTTTAGGTGGTCTTGAGGTAACAGTGCTTGATGTTTTTCAATATGATATGAATGAAACTTATACTTCTTCAATATCTTATTTGTCAAGCTTTTGGAAACTCCAAGGTTACTACTAATTTCCTGGCACTAATATTTGGATTTTCAACAGCAGACGCCACAACTTTAAACTAAATATTATCGTTGTTACTTTCATGTCTCCTGGTAGATTTCTCATAATTCGCATTTGCTGTTCTTTCAAACCTTTCTTTCACGTTTTCAAAACAGTGAGCACGTGGAAATCTCTATAAATCTGGATTATTTGCTTTGCAAATATGTGCTGCTAGCAAACAATTTCCATGAGCTTCTCCTAAGGCATACACCATTTTCACTAATTCTTCTTTTGAATAGTTCATTGTATGCATGTTTAGTACTTTCTCTGAACTCGCACGTGATTATTCAATAGAAGACAAGATGACATGTAAACTGATTGTCACAAATTTTATTGCCTCACTGCGTTTTTCCCGACAAAGGAACGGGCGCAAATCCGGTATTTTACACAAAAATTTTTTTTTTTTGCAAAAACTACGCAACTTAGGTATAGGGAAAGCTATTAAAAAATTGTAGGGTCTACAGAAAGGCATCTAATGAAATCATAAAACACAGGGTGTTCTATTTGAAAAAGTCGAGATTTTTCAAATTTTAAATTATCAGGTTTGGTACGATTTTTTTTGCCCCCTGTATATCGCAGGTCAACTTTTGATACGTTTTTTGAAAGAGCCATCTTCACTCTACAGTTCCTGAAAAAAAATAATTTCTAGCTGTCATACAATCATCATTATGTCAACTACTAGAAATGACGAAACATAAGAAAAAAAAAACCAAAAGTCGATTATCTCGAAAACTATCAATATTTTAATAGGGATCATAACAAAAAGTCCCGGTAATTTTTCACGTAGAATTCGATAATGCCATAAAAAATATAGGTATCCATTTAAAAAAATTAAGTTGGTACCTGCCCAGGAAAAACTGAACACCCTGTATATGCAAATATATTTGCATTTTGTGCAGCTCGGGAAAGTACGCAACTCTGTAGAAAAAAAAATTAAGTTATATCTTTTATTAACCTAGATATTGAACTTACACGCACTATACTCCGCGGTCGAAATTATAGAGAGTGACTCATCGCTAGCTTTTGGACTAGTAAGGGGGATGAAGCGTGCCGGGAACGAAAATCCATTGGCGTATCTGCATAAAAGGCAACAAGATATAGAAAATATTGAAAAAAGTTAATAAAACATAACATCTAATATTTTTTTACGGTTTGCTATAACCGGCACTTTGATCCGTTTTAATTATTACAGCATTTTAAAACGTCCTAGTTGTGTTTTTTTAATTTATAAATTTATTATAGCCATGGAATTAGACCCCTCGTCTACCCTTATGCTATGACGTTTCTCAGGACGAGTAAATCAAGTCCGTTTACACCCACTAAAAAAGCATTTCCCTATTCCCTACCAAGTGCAAAAGACAGAGATAGAATATAGATCGACGTTCAGTGTAACTCAGTCTATAGACGACTATAGATTCTATCAATGCGTGTAGCGAGTGGCACAAAGATAAATAATATTGAACCATATAAAAATCATTTTATATTTTATACGCATTATGGTAATAGTGTTTTTATATAATGTCTGAGTCACTCTCTATAATTTCTACCGCGGTGGACACGGTGTATAATAATGAAATTGAAATAATGCCCTGTGGAGTTCAGAAACTTATAATTGCATTTGGCATTACCTATAACCCCTTAGAATTAACTCCTCACTTTGGAAAATACCCAGTTTATGTAATTTTTTCAGCGACTCGCTACTGCAGAGCTCCAATAGTGAATCATTCGAGAAGAGTGTCTTTAAAGATGCCGAAAAGGATGGATGTAAACATGAGAATAGATCAACAAACCAATATAATACAAAAGTCGAGCAGGAATTTTACAAATGTGATAAATGTATTTACAAATCTGGAAGCGAAACCCGTTTTATAGAAGACCGTGCGAGACACGGGAACGATTCGGAAGCATATAAATGTGAATCGTGTAAGTACGAAACAGAAAATAAAAAAATATTTCAGAAACCTGGGTTGAGGCATGAAGATCCTTCGGAAATGTGTATGCACCGATGCGGATCACGTGAAAAGCGATTGTACGAGTGTGACTTTTGTGATTTCAAAACAAAGCGGAAGGTCAGTTTTAATAGTCATTATATAAAACACAAAAACTCAAACAATTGTGTAGAATTAACGAATAAGGACATTTCACAACTGCCCATTTATAAATGTGATAGTTGCACATACGAATCAAAGATTAAGACACGTTTTACCAAACATCAGTTGGTACATAAAGATCCTTCACAGATCAAAATGTACAGGTGTAACGACTGCGATTACGAAACTAAATACAAGGATGATATGAAAAATCACCAACTGAAACACACAGATCCTTCGCAGGCTCAAACGTACAGGTGTAATGAGTGTGATTACAAAACTATATACAAGAAATATATCAAAAAGCACCAACTGAAACATAAAGATCCTTCGCAGGTTCATATGTACAGGTGTAATGACTGTGATTACAAAACTAAATACAAGAATCATATGAAATCTCACCAACTGAAACACAAAGATCCTTCGCAGGTTCAAACGTATAAGTGTGTTGACTGTGATTACAAAACTATATACAAGGAATATATCAAAAAGCACCAACTGAAACATAAAGATCCTACGCAGGTTCAAACGTACAGGTGTAATGACTGCGATCACGAAACTAAATACAAGGATGATATGAAACATCATCAACTGAAACACAAAGATCCTTCGCAGATTCAAATGTACAGGTGTAATGACTGTGATTACAAAACTATATACAAGAGATATATCAAAAAGCACCAATTAAAACATAAAGATCCTTCTCAGGTTCAAATGTACAGGTGTAATGACTGTGATTACAAAACTATATACCAGAGTTATATCAAACAGCACCAACTGAAGCATAAAGATCCTTTGCAGGTTCAAATGTACACGTGTAAAGATTGCGATTTTGAAACTAAATACAAGAGATGTATCAAACTTCACCAACTGAAACATGAAGATCCTTCTCAGGTTCAAACGTACAGGTGTAAGGACTGCGATTTCGAAACTAAATACAAGAGTTCTATCAAACAACATCAACTGCAACATAAAGAGAAGGTGTACTGACTGTGATTGTGAATCCAACTGCAGGAGTGGTATAAAATACTACATGTTGAAACATAGAGAGCCTTCACGAGTGTAAACGTTCGTGTATCTTTGAGTATGCAGTGTGTGAATATGACTCGATGTATAAGAAAAAATTTATATGTCATCTGATGACGCACAAAGGTATGTAGCAGGTTCAAATGCATTAATGTGATTCTGAAACCAAGCATAAGCAGTCTCTAGGGAGATATTTGCTGATGCACAATAAGCATTTGTGGGTGTGAAGTGCAAAATCCATTCAAAAATGGAGGCATTTAAGAGATCGATCATAAATGTGTGAATATGAAGTTGTGAAAAACATCGATTCTCACAAAACTCTCACAGAAACAGACATAGATAAGTGTTTCCGGACTAGTGCTTTTGTATTAAAATGAATACTTTGCAATACACACCTGCTTTTTCTGTGTTTAAAAATGCATCTTTTTTATTACAAATATTCAGAGTGAATTTTAAATGTGTACATGTGTATTCTAAATGATGAGACGGTTTACTATGTGGAACATACAGTCAACAGTTTTTTCTTCCAAAAAAATTAGGAACAAAATAAATATGCAGTAATATTGAACGCTAAAATAAATATGCACTGTCTTTCTTAATAGAAAACTGTTGAAAACTGGTGACTGTGCTGTGGTATTTACACGTTGAGAAATCAACTAGGCGGAATTGCCGATATCGTGTAAGCTTGTAAACTCAACTAAGAAGAAATAAAGAAGCATTGGTTTAGATATGTCAGAAGTCTTGAACTCTATAAAAATGTTCAAAGCTCCCTTCTCTTGCCATTCCTATGCATCCTTAGAAACTCAGTATTCGATTGTCCACGATTTTCTCGACAAGCGTTATGGTAAACCAGAAGCAGTGCTTCGAATTATTATGTACCTGATAGTGAGAAGTTTTTTATTTTATTTAAATTATATTTGTACAAAATAAATTCACACTTTCAGCCTGATATTCATTATTTGTCCTGTCCTAAATTAATTATTTGTGTTGTCCTTATGAGTAGGAGTTGTGTAAATGTGGATGGGAAGATTATGATGGCTTTGGCTTGAGGGGCTGTTGGCTAAACGAATTTTCTATGATTATATAAGTGTTTATTCGTTTAATTTATTTTTTTGACCTCTGATTTTTATATGTACACATTTAAAATTAATCCTGCATCCTATGTAATTTATAATTTTCATTTGAATCTTCGTATTTGTGTAGGGGGAACAGGGTTACAAGTTACAAAAACATTATTGTACGAACACTGTTCCCTATTGTATTTTAATTAGTATTATTTTAAGGACTAAATATAAGTTTAAATCTTACTTTAGCTTTTATTGTGCACTATTATATGATTATATATGTACTTATGTAGCAATAAATGAATTAAATATAATTTCAGTACATATGCATTACATTATGTTTAAAGGAGCCCTTTACTTTTGTTTGTTTTTACAGTTTTGTTCTTATCCAGTACATGAAAATCTGCAAACTGATCTGAATCAAAATGTTAACTGTTCTGAAATGTAGGGACGCACGATGTTCATCGATATTTCTGAAACATCGGTGTGTTGCTTTCGAACATCGATGTTTTGCCATCGATATTGTGGTGCCGTATCATCAACAAAACATCGATGTTATTATATAACATTGAATGAAATTATAAAGGGTAAATTGGAAAGAATAGGTCACTTTAAACCTTTTAAATTTTAACTGAATACTAAATTCCTTAATTTCTTATAGAAACTATACTGTTGGTTTCATGATAAATTACGAATAGTCACAGCACAGCACTCTCTACTGCTAGTGAAGTGAAACTGTGAAACTCGGCAGTGACAATAACATGATTGTATATAGACTATTATAGTCTACATACAATGATAACATTCATGCATTGAAGTACAATTTGAAGGAGAAAGGAAAACTATTACCATACTATTCGACAATAATTAAATTGCTTAAAATGCAAACTAAATAAAGTGTGGATTTTCTGTTCCTTTCGAGTGTTTTGTATGTATTTACGACGTATTTAAAAATAATGTTATAATTAGCGTTGCCGTTTCTTATGTTGCAAGTATTCGCAAACTATCGATAGTCTATTTTGATAGCCAACATCGATGGCTTGTTTCGATGGTGCATCCCAAGGATATTTATAATATAAATATCCTTGGACATAGATAACGTTACATAAAATATTCAATATAAGCCGTCTTTTCATCCAAATACGTTGATCATTCCTTTTACACTGGATGTTTTAGGATCTATCGCCAATCATTTGAACACTTTTTTAAATCAGGATGGGCAAAATTCTTTAATTTCTGAATCGTAACATTTTTTATTCATTTTGCACATTTGGTCGTATCCTAAAATTCTAACCAAAAATTGTAACAAATAGCTGAAGGGGCTTAAGCAAGGATTTGTATATATTTGTATTTATTTGTATCAAATCTTTGGGGCTTAAGTACGAGGAACTCGATCCCAAGAAATTGTTTAACATATTCATAAGGCCAATATGTTGAAATTCCCGTATAGATTACAACTTAGCAAAAGAAGGTAAAAAAAATAATGATTTAACTCTTAACTCTTTGTCGGCAGTATATTTTTAGCGGATGAAAAATCCGGGACTAATTATATTTAAGAGGTTATGTTTATTTTCAGTTTAATTTTAAATTAAACGCAGTTTCTATGGAGGGTAGACAGTTTCAAAAATAATAAAAATATGTTCTTTTGACATTCATTATGATTCGAGCATTACGATCTGGATTCGGTCAAAGATCCGTGATTCAATGAAACAATGAAAAGAAGACGGCTTATGTCAAGGTTCCTAAATATTCAAGATTCAGTTTGTGACCTCGACCAATTTGATGCAAATAAATAATTAATTCATTTGTCGTCCTGGAAAGAAATGTTTAATTTTAAATTACTAACGAGCCAATCCGATCTGGATTTGTGAACGTAACCAATGTAAATTATAAATCGATATAAAAATAAAAGGCAGAGAGTTTGGACCTTGCAGGTTGGTCAGGAGTTTTAGGTCACAAGTGTAAGTGTATTCAGCAGCACGCAGTCTATATTTTTTCCAGGTTTATGGTTGCAGGCACAGATTACTACTAACAGGAAAGTTGCAGGTTATGAAATTTAATTATTGCTTAGAGGTATTTTATATTCTAAGAATTATTGTTTGGAATTCCTCGTTATAAAAAAGACAAAATGCAATCAAGAAACTATAAAGAAGTATTTTGCAGATTATGTCTTAATATTATAACCGATAGAAGTTGCGAAATAATAGACGAAGAAGTAAGGAAAATTGTGGAAGTAGTTTTGCCAAATCTGGTAAGATCAAGTTGATATATTACTTCTATGCCTGCAATTACAAAAAAATTTCAGAACCTGGAGGAGACGAATAAACATGTAATGTGTAATGAATGCTCTGTAAAATTATTTGCTGCCTTTAATTTTAAATCGATGTGTATGGATACGGAGGGTATTATTTTTCCTTATGTTAATTCCAATAGAGTTTCCATGGTTGACTTAAAAGAAGTTTATCTAAAGGAAAAAGGACATATTCCCTTAATCGATGTATCTGAAAATCGGAAAATTTGTCGATTATGTATGCAGTTGGCAACATACGGATTTGTGTCATTAAATGAAGTGGATGTTGACGTAATTGATAAATGTATATCACAAGTTGTAAGTATGTTTCAAAGTGTTTTATAGGAATAAGAATAAAAAATGAATTAACCTCAACATTGCAAGGAGCCACCTTTTAAGAACTGCTGATTCTCCTAGAAGATGTTCGATGTATCCAGCATTTGCTTGCACACAAGCTTCAGCACGACATATCCAATTTCTGAAAACATTTGTATCATCGATAAACTCGTAGCTGTGACAGTGTCGTAGCTTTCTTTAACATTTTGAATGCTTCACTGCACTTATTTCTGTTTTTAACACAAAATATCCGACAAACTCTGATCCGACATTTCGTCACACAAAAGAATCGCCTAAAACTCAGATTAGTTCTACTCATTTACGGGCTAAACACAAACTAAAAACTAAACGAGGCAGCTGCCTAAAAATTGACAAGTATGTCACCGACAGTGCTACCAATACAAAAAAAAAGGATCAACTCGATAGACAAGATGTAACACTCAATTTGAAAATTCCCGTTACTTTTTGATCAAGCCTCGTACACTACAGTTAACTATAGGAAAATCAGAACTGTGTATACTGTAGTATTTAATTTTTATACAATAGAATGCCGCATAATTCATTGTTTTCGCGAATTAGGAAGCATCATTAAATCTATATTGGCAATTCTGTCACATCACATGTTGCTAAGTTGAAAGTACCAAATGGCTAATGAATAATCACTTTAGTGTTAAGCTGCATTATGCTTGATTTAGTTGCAACAAAACTCTAACAGAAACATTTTAATAATGACTCATAAGCCGGTATTGTAGTATTGTTTATGTGTATTTTATGAATTTAAAATGGGACTTGTTGAAAAATTGGGAAAAATACATTTGAAATTCTCAAATTTGGCGTGTTTATAGAAAATACCGTGTATAAAATAATAAATGTCTCACAGATCTGGAGTAGTTGATTTACTATTATTTCTCACAATGCTGAAACTCTGAAAGAACAACAAATAATCAGATTTGAAACTGACTGCATGGACTCGACTAAATTTAAATTGTACATGCTCGTGAGACTCAAACCATCACAAAAATAAACTTTATATTTACAGTTAGAAAAAAAAAACAGGGAACGATGCTATTTTACTCTTATTCCTGGAGTTACTCTGTATCAAAATTAATAAACGTCTTGAGAAACTGACCTTGATAAGGCGGAAAGTACTACGAATTATCCAATGTTAAGTTGCTGTCATTTGTTTTCTGATTATAATCTAAGTGTTCCTTATTTCTTGCATTGTTTAATAAACTTTTTCCTGCATATTTAAAGTTTGTTATAAATAAATATTTTCCTTTATTTACTTAAAAAAACGTAAATATTCAATAGATACCAGCACAAATACTTTTTTTTACTTCAGAATATCAGTGTTTCCAAGGATCCTATTATATGTGCATGGTGTTTTGATTCGCTGCGTACTTACGGCAGTTTTTTAAAAAATTGCCTTGATGCACAGAAAAATGAGCGGTGTTATATTAAAACTGAAGAGATTGAAATGAAAGTGGAAGAAGATGGTCAGGAAGCCCAGCAGAAATATAATATTGATGACCTTATTAAAACTGGAAATACTGAAATGAAATTGGAAAGTGACCAAAACACGCAGGAGAAATATAAAAGTATCGATAAGCAGTCTTATATCAAATCCGAAGAGATTGAAATAAAAGTTGAAGGAGATGAGCAATTGGGGTAAGCAAATGCCGATGAAGCTTTAAAATGTTTTGCTGTACTGCTTCAAGTTTCTTTATGGATAGAAAGATTTTTATTGAAAAGCTCATATGTCACACTCAATAATAAACTTTTACATAAACATTTTTTATGGTTAATATTTTGCAGTCAAAATAACTAAATATAAAAATTTACGTAAAAAAATTTGTTATTGTTTACGTTTTTTTTTTAACGCCCTTTACTTCGATTTATTTAGATATTCCATTGTAAACATTGTATGTTTTTTTAGTGTTTCTTCATATGACTTAAATGATGATGAAGACAAAGGAGAAAGAAAGATTGAATGCATGCTTAAGTATAAGATAGGATATGATGAAAGTTGTACATCGATGTTTGGTCACAACACCTACATACCCAAAAGTGAAAAATCTAGATTTCAAATGTGTGAACCCTCATTAGATACACAATTGTACCAATGTGATAAATGTAAGTATGACACTAAGCTTGAAGTGGATATGAAAAGACATCAGTTAACGCACGAAAACCCTTCAGTGCAAACTTACAAGTGTGTCACTTATGAAACTAAAGTGAACAGTCATTTAAAAATGCATCAGTTATCGCACATGGATCCTTCAGAAGTCCAAATGTACAAATGTGATACTTGCAATTTTGAGAGCAACTATATAGGTCATATAAAAGTGCATCAGTTGACACACAAGAAGCGTTCGGAAATCCGAATGTACAAGTGTGATACATGTAGTTATGAAGCTAAACTCATGAGTAAGTTAAAGAGACATGAGTTATCACACAAAGACCCGTCGGAAATCCAAATGTATAAGTGTGATACATGCAGTTATGAAGCTAAACGTATGAGTCATCTGAAAAGGCACCAATTGTTGCATAAAGACCCATCTGAAATACACATGTGGCAGTGCGATAGATGTAGTTTTAAAACTAAACATAAGAGTCAATTGAATGTACATCAGGTATCACACAAAGACCCTTCGGAAATCCAGATGTACAAATGTGAAGCTTGTATCTACGAAACTAAATATAAAAGTCATATGAAAGTGCATCGGTTAACACACAAAGACACTTTGAAAATGGGAATATATAAGTGTGACGCCTGTAATTTTTACTGTAAGTATAGAAGCAGACTAAAATCGCATCAGCTAATACACAAAGATTCTTCAGAAATCGAAATGTACAAATGTGATATTTGTAATTATGAAGCTAAGTATAAGAAATATTTAAAAGATCATCAGTTAAAGCACAAAAACCTTTCAGAAATCCGATTGTACAAATGCAACACATGCACTTTCGAAACTAAGTTTAGGAGCAGTTTGAAGTGGCATCAGTTAATACACAAAGATTCCTCAGAAATCCAAATGTACAAATGTGATACATGTGCCTATGAAACTAAATATAAGCATCGGATGAAATGTCACGAGTTAATGCACAAAGGTACCTCGGAAGTCCAGATCTACAAGTGTGATATATGTAGTTATGAAACTAAATATAAGCGTGCTTTAAAAGTGCATCAGACAAAGCACAAGGACTCTACAGAAATCCAAGTCACTATTTAATATTCTTCCATCTTGTACAACAAAAAGTAAATACATGAAAGTAACAAGTGATGAAATACTTGTATATCGACAGTCGGTAGAAATAGCAGTATCAAATACAGAAACAGAGTGATACAGAAATTAAGGGGACTTTTTTATAAATTCTAAACAGATTCCTAATATACAAGAGTTACAGGCAAACTATTTTTTGTTGGTCACATCAATCATAATGGTACGGTATAATTGGGTGGATTTATGTTGATAAGTTCCTATTTAAAATCTTTAGGTTTTAAAGATATTTCCAATACCTGTAATAAATTGTATAATAAATTACCAACAAAAGTTAAGAGTATAAGAGAGTTCAAAGTATTTAAAAATGTAAGAAAGTATATTATGGGTAAAGAGATATATTTTTATTAAATTATTGCTTTCGAAGCATTAAATATTAAGTATATTATTGTTTCAGTGTTTTAATTTAAATGTTTATGATGTTTTTGTTATGTAAATTAAGTTTTTATTAAATTCAGTGAAATGATCATGTTACTAGCATAACATTCTTAATATGTTTTAAATATGATTCATTGGAATCACTACATATTTTTATATATTTTCTCGGTTATATTTAATCCACACTCGTAGATAAAGGACTTGTTTATTAATCATATATAATTTGGATCTAATCCTAATTTTTTTTCCAAACACATATTGGCAATTGTTACATATTTATTATTTTACTATTATAAAAAATGTGTACATTTAATATAAATAAATTATGAAGAACATTAGAACAAGAATTTTCTTGCCTTGCCCAGAACTGGCTGTTCTTCCTGGGAACAATAACAATGGAGCAGCATTCTTTAAGCGAAAACAAAACTGGTTGTTGTTCCTGCCTATTGTATGTAAATCAATAAGATTTAAAAAAAAATACATACAAAATTTATCAAAATTTCAATTTGTGGATAAATCGGCAAATCGTGGTGGTATTAAGGACAAATGGAGTACAAACATATATCTACTTAACGTTAAAAAATATGAAGTTAAGTGAAAGTTACGTTTAAAAATAATTTTCTCGTCCAAAAAGAAACAGGGCAAGTCACATTACAATATCTTTGGTAAAAATTAGGACATTTTATGACCTATTACATTTTTTCATGTTGATGCCACTGTACAAGAACCGTGAGTTCATATTTATTTTTTGTATTTTTATGATACATTCACAAATTATTTCTCAGACAGTTGTAATAATTATGTATTGTATATTTAAATAAAAAAATTAAATGTGCAAAAATTGTTTAATAAAAAAGAATAAAGTTTAGTAAATTACTATAACCAAAAATAAATATTTTCGTCATTTTGGCACTTAATCAATATGTTGCTTCCATAAAATAATCTATTTCCTGACTAAAAATAGGGTTTCTTTTCAAATGCTTTAAATCTGAGGGTGTTGACCGCACTGCCACCTAGTGGGGAACGGCCTAACTTTTAAAACGGCAAAGCTGAGAACGAGACTGTCAATAATGTCCTAAATATCTAACGTTTTGTTAAATACACAATTGTAGAATTGTACCAGTGCAATAAATATAAATATAAAACCAAGCTCAACGCGAATCTGTAAAGGCATCACAACATGGTAGAATTTCGAATTATTTGTCAAAGTTTTTGTATTTTCTATGATGAAAACCGTAGAAGAAGAAGAAGAATAGACATATGAAATGAGGTTATGGAAAATAAAAGTTGACCAAAATAAAGAAATGCAACGTAGAAACTTTAAAGAAACATTTTGCAGGCTATGTCTAAGTACTATAAGCGACACAAACTGCCAGGTAATAGAAGAAGCCTTAAGGGACGTTCTTGGAAGTGTTCTGCCAAATGTGGTAAGATCAAGTTAAGATTACTTTTATAGGTGTGTTTAGTCATTCGAAACATAAATATGAGAATTAACTTAAACATATGTTTAATCTTACCACAATAGATGTGGTTTATACAGGAAAATAGTAAGAAACAAGCAAGTTAATAATCACTTGGAAATTGTAGTCGTGTGCTAATTTTCATAGAATTGCACATATAGGGTGTTCTAATATTCTGTGTAAATTAAACTGACACATTTTTGAATGATTTAACTCGTACATATTTCTCTCTAAAGTTGCCTCTTTTAACCGCTAGAGAGCATTATCAAAATTGGCAAAACATTGTAGATTTATTCAAATAACTCCAGAACTCTGCCCGACATAAAATTTGGTGTACTAGTATTGGACACTTTGACAGTCACAATAATTGCATTTACATAAATGGGGAAAAATTATTAGCACCACCATTAGTCAAATTTGTTGATATATTTTTTTTTGTGAAATAATTCTTTAACGTTCACGGAATGGTATAACATATAATTATGTTACCCACTAATTATGTCTTAATTCTGAATTCTGTCAATCAACTAAATTCATGAGAAATATGAAGTTGTTTCAATTTTTCTAAAATTTGTACCAGCCATCTCTTTTCGGATAAAATCTGTGAATTTTGCTCCGTCAGGAATCAGCCAAATAATTGGAAAAATTAAAGATATTTTCCAACTTTCCAAGTGAAGCAATTTTGTATAGAAATTAATTTAATTAAGTCATCATATTTTAACCCTTAGACACAGATCTGGTAGTTCAAAGTAAAAATTCACCAATTGATTTGATACAACAGATTATATAAGTTTAAAATAATGTAAATATTTATATTTTTTACATGATTGTGACGTCACTTAGTGCGCCTGAGAACGCAACCTGCTTCTCGGCCATCTGCCGTTTAGTCCGAGACGGAACCTAATTTAGAAAAAGGCGCATGACATGTGAAGAGCCTCAAAGCAAGTGAGTTTGGTTGCCTCTAAACTCTTGTTACTTACTGTCGGGCCGACCATTTATTTTCTCGATTTTCGATCGCACTAAATGACGTCACGAATTAGCATGGCAGCCCTTTGAAAGATTTATTATGCTCGCCAAATTTTAATAAATAATGATAAACCTAATTTCTAATATTTTCGCTACAGGATGGTATTATTTAAAAAAAATGTTTTATGTTATTTCTACTTATTACAAACTGATAAAAACTTATGTATATAGTGTTGCTCATTATACCTCTGAATATCTGTAATTACGAATTTGTTTCAGATTTTGGAGGAGACGAATATACATGTAATGTGTAATGAATGTTCTGTAAAATTATTTGCTGCCTTTAATTTTAAATCGATCTGTATGGATACGGATGGTATTATTTTTCATTATGTTAATTCCAATAAAGTGTCTACGGTTGACTTAAAAGAAGTTTATCTGAAGGAGAACGGAAATATTTCCTTAACTGATATATTGGATAACCAGAGAATTTGCCGATTATGTATGCAGTTGGTAACATACGGATTTGTGTCAGTAAATCAAGTGGATGTTGACATAATCAACATATGTATATCACAAGTTGTAAGTATATTCAAAATATTTCCCAGGAAAATATCTGTATGTTATGAAAAATTCACATAAATGAGATTCTATATGAAGTGGAGTTAACATAAAATGGTTATAAACTTTAACACCCTAGAAGTAAAAAAATGCACACAGTACTTATGTATATAGATACACAAAATCCTCATTTACGCCATCATATATTATATCTATAGTTGTTGTGACAAATGATTACCAGCCATGTGACCAGTAATTTTGTCTAGAAATATGTTCTGTTTCTCGCTGTTAAAAACGATAGATAATCTGCTGGAGACAAAAACTAATATTTTTTTTATTGTAGAACTTTGGCGCTATCTTGGATCCCGTTATATGCGGATCGTGTTGTGATTCGCTTCACACTCATAGCAATTTTATAAAAAACTGCCTTGATGCACAGAAAAAAAATAATAACATTGATAAAGAACCTTCCATTAAAACTGAAGAAACTGAAATAAAGTTGGAAGATAATCTGGATGTGCCGGAAAAATATAATCATTTTGATAAACACTTTTATATTAAGTCTGAAAAGATTGAAATTAAAGTAGAGGAACATGATCATTGTGGGTAAGGAAATCTCAGAAAGTGTATAATTTTTAAATTTATTGCTCTACCATTTAATTGTTTTTGTTTTTTGAACTAAATTTAGCCACTAATTGTCTATTTTAAACAGTAGTTTCTGGTGGTAACAAACTCTGTTACCACGTAAAAGCATTTGTCATATGCCATCACAAAAATTTAAATATAATTTCATGTTTCAAGAAGACCGAAAGACCATCATTTTTTGACATTTACTTGATATGAAAAGGAAGTTGGCCCTGGTGGGTAAAGGAATAAATTTAAGCATTTTCCTAATATATTTGAAAAATATGCTTTTTGCTGCTTTTATTTTATTTAACAAAAAATAAAGCATGTATTTATTTCTTCAAACTTACTAATGAATTTAAAACAAATTAATAATTTCTTCAGAGTATGTAATTAATCTGTTTATTAATTTAAACAAATAGTAAATGGCTTATTTAATTGTTTTCTTAAAAAGCAGTATTTACTTGTACCTTTTATTACATTAATTTAATTCATTTACTAAGAGGTTTCGTATATGTACTGTATTGATTGTATTAAAATAACCTTATTAAAATATATAGTTACTGGAACCCATGTTGATATAAAAAAATAATCTTGCTTTTAGGTTAGGAATCTGTCCCCGAGCGTTGGCCCATGTTTTCTGAAACACCCTGTACAAAAAGTACAGAAAGTATTATTTTGAAATACAATTTTAAATTTTGCTGTAGCAATTTATAACCTGTAGATTTAGAAACAACTATGAAATGGGGTTTTATTTATGAGCTGACGCAATAATTGTTCTGATGGGAGGGGCAGCGAAACTAGTTAATCATGTTTTAAAACACTAGCTTCAGTGTCTTATTCAAATACAATCAGCAGATGTAGTAAATTTAAAATTATAATGAAAACACGTATAATTTAAACCTGTTTTAGTTTTATTGACTTTTCACTTGGTTTCTGTTCTCATTTTGAACGATTTCAATTTTTTTTCAGTGATTCATCTTCCTACAACTTAGATAACGAAACAATTGTCAACAAGCAAAGGTATGCTTCTGAAGATTTAGGAAAAATAAAGTACAAATGTATGCCTCAATGTAAGACGGGATTTAATGGAAATCGTAACGACCAAATACTAAGAAGCGAAAAATCTGTATGTCAGAATTGTGACTCTTCGTTAGGTAGACTATTGCACAACTGTGATAAATGTAATTATGAAACTAAGCTTAAAACGAACCTGAAAGGGCACGAGTTAGTGCATAAACACTTTTCAGATGTGAAAACATACAAGTGTGATACATGTAGTTACGAAACTAAGCGTAAAAGCAATCTGAAAAATCATCAGTTGTGGCACAAAGATCCCTCAGAAATCCAAATGTTCAAATGTGATATGTGCAGTTATGAAACTAAATTTAAAGGTAATCTAAAAAAGCATCAGTTAAAGCACAAAAATGACTCGAAAACCCAAATGTACAAATGTGATACTTGTGCTCACGAAACTAAATATAAATATGGATTGAAACATCACCAGTTAACACACAAAGACGGTTTGGATGTCCGGATCTACAAGTGCGATACATGTAGTTTCGAAACTAAACATAACTATAATCTAAAAGTGCATCAGTTAACGCATAAAAATACTTCTGATATTGACATGTACAAATGTGATACTTGTGATTTTGAAACTAAGTACAAGGGACAAATAAAAGTGCATCAGTTAACGCACAAAAATACTTCTGATATTGACATGTACAAATGTGATACTTGTAATTTTCAAACCAAGTTTAAAAGCAACATAAAATTGCATCAATTAAAACACAAAGATTCTTCAGAAATCCAGATGCACAAATGTGACGTTTGTTCCTACGAAACTAAATATAAGAACGATTTAAATAAGCATCTGTTGTCACACAAAGACGTGTTGGAAGTCGAGATGTACAAGTGCGATGCATGTAGTTATGAAACTAAATATAAGGGTCGCTTGAAAATGCATCAGTTAACGCATAAAGACCCTTCGGAAATCCAAATGTACAAGTGTGATGAATGTAGTTTTGAGACTAAACATAAGTATACTCTCAAGAGGCATCAGTTGTTGCACAAAGACCCATCGGAAATCAAAATGTGGAAATGTGATACGTGTAGTTTTGAAACCAAGTATAGAAGTGTTTTAAAAAAGCATCAATTACAAGAAAACAGGAACAAGTAGAAAATTCAATAAATATTAAAGGTGCAATTAACAAATTTGGCATGTCTTCTTAAAAAAATATATTTTTTGTAGATGTACGTTGTATAGAGAAAATGGTCAATTTTCAGAAATGTATTTAAACAATAAAAGTAATCTTTTGTAAAACCATGTTTTTTTGGCTATTACTAACTACGTATTAAGCCCTACTTGAAAGAGTATGGATTCCAGGTTGCTTTTAACAGCACCGGTTATTGTGGTTTACCACTTCCAATGTTTAGTTTATAATTGTGAGTTTATAATGTTTAATCGAATCTACATTTCGGAGGTGCAAGCCAAACATTTTTTGTTTGTTTAATAGCAAAACAGTGATATAGATTTGATAGATCTATCTCAAATAGTAACAGGAATATCAACAAATGAGTGCAATAAGCTCATTGTGTTAGAAATAGGTCAAAAAGTCATAATGAGCCACAATCTAATGCCACTGGTTTTAGAAGAGTGTTGAAATTGACAAAATTATATTTTAATAAAATTATATTTTTGATATTTTGATGAAACTAATAAGAAACAAAAAGTTCACCAATTTGGTTAAACACCCTAAACATTTTATAGCATCTTTTTTGTTCCCATAATACTTTTTAGATCTTTGATAGAAAATCGCTACAATATTAATTAAGAGTATGCTAACAAATTAAATGTAACGTGAAATTCACATGCTATTGAGGAGTTGTGTTAGTCATCAATAATTATAGTAAAATCAGTAGGTAGAAGAGCTTACAAAAAATATGGTGGTATAGAAATAAAAATTCTAAGAAAAATAGTATATTTTTCCTGTGGCGCATAAACGGCGAAGTTAACCTAAAAAATTCATAAATGGCAGAAAACGGGTTTTCGCTAATAAAAAAAAAACTTGAACTACAATCGTAAAAAGTGAAATGAGAAAGTTGTAATTATTAAAAAAAAATCTATCGATTCGTATTTTTAAATATATCGATTGCTACATTACTTTTCGAGATATATAAAAAAAAAAAAAACGTTAAAAATCGACTTTTTTGTTTTTGCAGTATCTCTTGCAAATTAAGGTTTTGAAACTTGTTACTTCCTGCAAATGCCCCCAGCAAGCAAAGAAAGTACCTTTTTTAAATTAAAAAACATTGAAAAATTTTCGAGTAATATCGATTTCTCGAAAAAATGTCATCTCGAAAATTGGAAGGTTTTTCGATATATCTCGAAAAGTGATATAGCAATCGATATATTTAAATATACGAATAAATAGGTTTTTTTTAATAGCTACAACTTTCTCATTTAACTTTTTTCGATAAGTTTTTTTTTTAGCGAAAACCGTTTTTTTGACTATGAATTTTCTAGGTTAACTTCGCCGTTTATGCGCCACGGGAGAAATACACAATCTGTCATCTATTATAATTTTTTTCCTATATCACCATATTTTTTGTTTCCAGGTGGTATTTTTTGTAAATTTAACACAAGGCCGCGACAGATTGATTGGACTATTTAGGATTTTTTACAGCATCCATTGTGTATGTTTTGTGGTAACCATGGTCCATTATCAAAATTAGCAGTAGAATTCTATATTGTCTGTGTTGCCAAAGAAATTAAGGAAGAAGAAGATAAAGGTTATATGAGCGTAGATCTAATAGTATACTATATTAGATCTAAGTATTATTGTAGGTATTATGTATATGAGTTTGCAAGGCGACAGGATTATTTATTATTTAATTAATTAATGTTAATAACATTTGTTTTGAAGTGTCAAAATATTAGACGAAAGGAAGCAAAATGCAACCAGAAAAGCTGAAAGAAACATTTTGCAGGCTGTGTTTAAATGCCATAAGCAATACAGATTGTCAGGTAATTGAAGCTGTAAGAGATGCTCTGGAAATTGTTTTGCCGAAATTGGTAAGAACAAATTTTTAAGACTACTTTTAGCATAGAACGGATTGAAACATTATTTATATAAAAAGCTACTTAAAACATCGTTTTTCCAGTGTTAACATGTAATGGAAATTCCTAACAAAATTAGATAAAAAAATAGGCACTTTTCTAGAAAAATATAAACAATTTATTTTTGAAAAATAAATTCTTTTTGTAGATACTAAGTCAAAGGTTTAAAAATGTGTATATCTCAAATATATTCCATATGAATATGTTTGAGGTATGCGAATATCGATATAACTTATGTGGAACGGATTAAAAATCATAAGTGTCAGTTTCTACTACTACCTTTGACATTGCTTTAAGTCATTCATACTTTTAATTGCGAATCTATTTCAGAGTTTGGAGGAACAAGATGAACATTTCATCTGTGAAGAATGTTCCATAAAATTATTTGCCGCTTTTAATTTTAAGGCGACTTGTGTAAATACCGAGGATATTATTTTTCCTCATATTAATGCCAGTAAAGTGTCAGGGGTTAATTTGACAGAAGTTTATCTAAAAGAGAAGGGAAACTTTCAGTTACTGGATATCTCGCAAAATCTGAAAATATGTCGATTATGTTTCCAGTCGTTAATATATGGATTTGTTGCATTAAATGAAGTGGACGTTGACATACTTGGAACATATATACCACAAATTGTAAGTATATTTCAAAGGACTTCTCAGGAAAATGTTTGTGTGTGTAGATACAATTTTTTCTATATATGAAATTCTATGTAAACAGAAAATACTGAATATCAGGGTAACTGTTTTATAAATAATATTTTAACAGCTGTCAAAATTTGGAGTAGTGAAAAAGCAAATTTATTAATATACAAACACCTGCTAACTGTTCTTAATTAATTTCATCTTTTCTTTATACAGAGTGTAACTAAAATCCATGGCCAAACTTTAGTGGCAAATCCTACACACAAATTAATAAAATTCCTATAGTATGTGAAATATGTGTCTACGAATGCTTTGTGTTAGATATACAGGGTATATAAATTAAAGAAGACATATTTACTTCAAGGTGCAAATAAAAGTTGTGAGAATATGCAGTAGATAATAATGACAAATGCCTAACTTGTCTAGAAATGTCAAAATTTTACCAAACTTACCTTAATCCAAAAGTTAATATTTCATTATTTTTACATAACCTGTTCAAAATTACAGATATTGCACAAATTTTGGGTATGGGGAATCGTTTGAGCGACGAATTAAAATCTGGTCATAATTTTGCTGTTACTTATTAGGGGGCGCAACTTGCGGCATGATGCGTATCTTTAAAATGTTATAACTTTCTTGCTCCTCGGTATGTCTGCCTCTTTAATCTTTTTTTCATTTTCTTATATTTTTTATATGAACCTGGCAAGTATCGCTACGAGTAACCATTTTCGAGATAATAACCTTTAAAGTTTTTTAATTAATTGATGATTATTTATTTGTCGTTATTTATTTCGTTCTATTTTATTGTTTTTTATTTAAAAATATATTTCTTTCACGTCAGCATTTGAATTTAACAATCTAAAAAAAATATAATTTCATAATACTCTTTCCTTCACTTATTCTTCATTTCTTTGGCGTTTACTAAATTTGAAAATGTCTTTTATTAATTTTGTTTATAAATCCTTGGAAAAATATACACACATCCCTATACAATATCTCGAAAATGTTTAATCTTAGTAATGCTTGCAAAATATGTCTCTTTTACGTAGAAAAAAATAGCAAAATTAAAAAAAATATATCAAAAGGCAAATATACCGAGAAGCATTAAAAGTGCATAAAAATGTTTAACGTCAATTTTTGGAAAAGATGCAGATTATCGATAACTTATTTGTGTTTTTTAAAGTGATTTTTCAGGAAACTGTACTGCTTTATCGAAAATGTCATGAACAATTTTTTTTAGATAAAGTAATCCACTATATCTCTACCAACTTAAGTGGGGAAAAAATTATTTCTCCCTAAGATTATTGCAGTTAGCAATCTAAAGGCCTTTGCTAAGACTTATTTGAATATTATCAATCATTTTGGAGTCTATTTAAAAAATACATGATTTTAGCAGCAGTTTTTATTGTCCTTATTTTTTTCGACGTAAATATTCGTGTTGCTTGTAATTATTTGCGGCATTTTCGTTAGTTCTTTTTATTTGTCTGGGTACTTTTGCCACACTGAAAAGAAAAAAAAATTACAAACCGAAGTTTTGCCTAAAGAAATACATCATGTTGAGAAAGTAGACACAATAGACACATTACATAGTTTACGTTTCAAAAAACTCTGATTTTATTATCAAAACTTTTCTTTCAAATTAAAAATAGGAAGAAAAATATGATTTTTTAACATATTGTGCCGCTAAAAGTTAAGTCCACATTTTTTTTCATGCGCATAAAAAAATTTTAATTTCTAGTTATATTTGAATGCCAAAATGCCAAAAAGCCAAAAATCTCCGTGGATATACGATTCACACAAATATGGTCTCTTTAAAACAGATACCGGCTAGTCTATTAGACATGCAAATAATAAAATGCAGAATAGTGAGTCACATATCAGTATCAAATCAAAATGAAGTGCATCGAGCAACAGTGAAATCAGATTATCTGCTGCAACACAAATAAACGGTATTATTGTGCTTTTATTGCTCAGATCTGGTGATTCAATTGAAATGAAACAATGCAAATATCAGACTCTGTTCATGGATCATAAGTTGAAATTGTCCCTCGTAGAATTGATTGTGTAAATGTGTTTACGGTCGCTAGAAAAATATAACTTCTGCCACAAATTAGCACTGATATTTTTTATTGTAGAACTTTGACGCTACCTTGGATCCTGTTATATGCGGCCCATGTTTTGATTCACTGCGTACTCATGGTAGTTTCCTAAAGAATTGTCTTGATGCACAGGAAAAATTTAAAAGTGTAGATAAACAGTCTTATATTAAAACTGGGGAAATGAATATAAAACTAGATGATCAGGATGTGCAAGAGATATATAGAAATATTGACGGGTGCCCCGATACTGGATCTGAAGCGACTGAAATAGTTTCAATAGATGAGTATCGGAATAGGTAAGACAATGTCCATAAATTT